CATTTGATATTTTGCAGATTTTGTTCTGCCATTCAGTAGCTTGGTCGAGAGGTATCTGATTAAATTTTAGTTGACTCCTCTTAACTACAAAGTTTCCATTCAGAAACTCCTCATAAACTAGTGTATGTGTGTTTTGTAAGTTTTTCATTTCACACAAGTAAACAGCACCCCACCTAGCATAATTTGTATGGTCATAGATTGTCATCCATGGAAGCATTGCTGAAAATGAATCTAAGTGAAGGGCCCAGTTACCCTCCCGATTAGCCCGGATAAAGTCTAGCAATGTTTCAACCATCTTCATGTATGACCTCCAAAGAACAAAATTGGGTAAATGCTGCAGTGTATTATCAAATTCATCCATCATACCTAAAACATCATGCGTCTTTAGAGTAGTGACTAAACAATTTACTGCTTTAACTGCTTCATCATCAGAATTTCTGTGACTGAATGCCTTTACTATTTGATCTGTCATTGATTTTAAATTAACCTCACTTTCATTAGATGTTAACCAAGAAGTAAAATATTGCCAATAAATTCGACTTAAAGCTTCATATGTTAATAGATGACCTCTTACAGCTCGATAATATTGCTTCCCTTCTAACATTGCACCAGTAGTATTTTGCGCAAAAACACCAGACTCAACCCATATATCTGCAAGCCCTGAATTTTCCATATGTTGTCCTATTGCTTTAAGAAAGTTAAAGAGAACGTGCAAATGGCCCATAACCAAAACTACATTCTGATATTTTTCAGGGTTGGCCCAAATAATTTCCTTGCCTCTACTGTACAAAGGTTGATCTACTGCTATTACAGTATTTGGCTGGCCAAGATGTTTAGCAATTGATGTAAAGCGATTAAGTATGGTTGTCATGGTATTATTATCATCTGCAGGAGCCTGAAGTATAGGCAACATACCAGGCGTAGTAATGGGTGAGTTAACTAAGCTAATCTTCTCATTAAAAGCAGCCCAAGCTGGCACCATTTGTTGAGAGGTTTGGCACATACGTGCTATTATCCATGCCATATTTTTCATTTTTGACTCAACCTGATTATTGCTTTTATTAAACCACTTTTCTATTTCTAGGTCAGGAGGAAGGTTACTAACTGGCTTTGGCCTTTCACCAACTGGCATGCTGGCATGATCTAACTTATGGAATTGATCTAAGCTATCCCTTGTTATTGTTTTTGCCCTGTTGATGTGCTTAATATCTATGTCAGACCTTATATTTGCCGGGCCTCTTTGCCACAGCATCATTTGCGTGCAATGAAATGTGTTTTTTCCATCTATTGTTTCCTCAAGCACATCAATATTATCACATGAGGCTAGAACAATACGGCTAGGGGAATATGGCACAAGCTCATTTGGGATATATATATGCCCATTTTTGTTAAACCTGTCGATTATATCTGAAGCTATTGTAGTATCAATTCTTCTAATTGTATCCATCCCTATTGTATGACCTGCTGCATGAAATAAATCAACAAGCTTTTCTGACCTAGTTGCCTGGTGTAGTGTAAGCCCTAGACCAATATGCTTTGGGGTCAACTTTCTCTTTCTAGAGGCTAAGTAAAATACATCCTGAGCAATGCTAGTGATATGGTCATCTAATTTAGATGATCTTTCTTCTAATATATCTGTTCCCCCGAAAAGAACTGAAAGAAAAGTATATAAGCTTTGGGGAATAACCTTAGCAACATGTTCCTTATCTAGCCCACACCATGCAGCACTATGACCTGGTGTATTTTCCAAATCATTCCTAATGGTCATAGCTGTATGGACTAATTCTAGCAGGGCATTGTCTTGGAAGGGAACAAGGTGATCTTCATTACCAAGATTGTCTTCATCATCATTACTCACATATTCTAGGTGTTGTGCTACAGCAAAATCAGTCTTATTGTTGGGGTAAACAAGGAGGTGAGCCTTAGGATCTATGGGTCTAATAAAACCAGCCTTTTCACCAATTAAATTTTGGATGTCATTATAAAATGATTGCCTCCTTGTTATGTATTTCTGGGGGATTTGCATGTTTAGATTAGAACACAATTTCTTATAGTGAACCCAGATATTTCCCATATCATACACATGACCAGAGTTTAACCCTGTTAGAATAGCAGAACAAAGTATATCAAGGGATTGGTCACTATTCCTAGGATCCACAGTTTTCAAATTAGATGTAGTAATTGTTTTCTGGAATTTAACCCAGCACTGTACATGATATTTCCCCTCTGCAGCCACTAGGTCACATACATTTGCTAGTCTCACACGCATAACAACATCTTGTTTTGCCATTGATAAAATTTTATCTGACAGTGTCATCGTCATAACATTTCTGAGGTTTTTGCCTTCACTTGTTTGACAAAACATACATATTTCCCATTTTATGTTATGCTCATGTCTGCTGCGTGTGGAGGCCTGATGTGCAACAGTATTACTATTTGAAGCTTCATGGACTGTTTTTATGCCCTCTTGTTTCTTCTCAAGCCTATTTAGCATGCCTATATGGGTGAACTTGCTATAACAAGAACGATGCCATTTTAAATCATCTAAATTTATATTTTCACCGGTACCAATGGTAGCAAGTATCCTTTCAATAACACCTAGGGAACTTGTATCATTCAGAGATTTTCTTTTTAGGGCAACCTCGACAACCTTGCTTTTCCCTTCCTCTGTTGCACTACTCAAGCCACTGCCTGCTGCAGTCTCACTGCCCTCGCAAAAGAAACACTTGGAAATCTCTGAATCTCTCTTAACCTTTTTAAGGACAGTTATTGGATCTATTTTCGGATATAAAGGTCGTTTTGAGCTAGACTCATAACTCATTTTTGCTGCATAAAAAAATATATCCGAAGGAAAACTTCTATTGGCGACTTGATCAGAAGATTGCTTAATGTTGTTGGAAAGAACACATAAACTACTTGAAGCGACAACTGTAAATGTTATCAAAGTGAAAGCGGAAAGATTCATAAGCAAGTAGTACCATAAAAAACTATGAATATTGAAGTGATTTTTAATGAACTACATTATTAAAATAAGTAGAAAAAACATATATACAAACTTTACTGTGTATTCTTTGATGTCTTTGCTTTTCTGGGGGGGTTTTTATATACAAATTCGCTTTTTACAGTGTATTTCGTGTTGAAAACAGTGAAAAAAAAGACCAAAGTTCTTTCGAGTTTGTCGTTGTCAAGGCAACAAGGGAACACCGCAAGTTAAAGGCAAGCGCTGATTGGTTATTTCGGGAGCTGGGGAAAGCCCAATGATCATTTCCCGCCATTTTTCCTGTGTAGTTTACGCGCTTTCGAGAGGTGCAGAAATCGTAAAAATTTGAGCTTCAAAGGCGAAATCTTTCGCGCCAACAGGCCTAATAAGTTAGTTAAGTGTCTAAACAATATGTCTATATGTTTTGTTTGCTTGTAACACAAAATGCCATCAAAGGTTTTTTGAAGCGAATTTTGTCAAGTTGGCCGGCCGTCTATTACAAATAGAGCTTTTTGAATATAGACCATTGCAAATTTTTTTAAAATTTGTTTAACCCTTTATAGTGGCAATGTGCCCTACTTTAGTATATTACTCCGTCTGGTGCCAGTCAATTTTACCCAAGGGCAGAACGTAGACTTGCCACAAGTTGACCTCGAACGAAACGTCGGCTCACACTTGCTGCTTGCGTTTCGTTCGAGGTTGACTTGTGGCAAGTCTACGCAGAATGCTGCCACTCAAAGCGTTTGAGAAAGAAAGCAGAAAGAAAATGGAGACGTACTAAACTTCCGACTGATTTCCTTGCTTTTAAAACTGCGAAAAATCATACAACGTTTCTTATGAACCAAGCGCGACAAAATTTCTATAGACAGTTTATCTCAGAGAACAGTCAAGATCAGAGGAAACTATTTCGTGCAACTAAAGGTCTTTTTAGACACGATTCTGATCTTGCCTTTCCCCACTATAACGACAGCAATGCTCTGTCTAATGATTTAGGACAATTCTTTGCTCAAAAGATTATCAATATTCGCTCTGAACTTCAAACAGCATCAACCTATGAACAAGCAGTTTTTTCTGACATGCCGTCGGTGTCACTGAACAGTGACCAGATTTATCAAGAATTTTCGCCTATGAGCGATGATGATACTGAACGGCTAATAACCTCGTCAAACAAGAAATCTTGTTCCTTGGATCCTATCCCAACTAAATTGGTCGTCGAATGCCTGAATGTTCTTCTGCCTGTTATTACCAAAATGATTAACCTTTCACTAGAGTCTGGCATTTTCCCATGTGTCTGGAAAGAGGCTGATGTCCAGCCAAGACTCAAGAAGCAAGGCTTGGAAGTAATATTTGAAAACCTACGACCTATCTCCAACCTCCCATACGTTTCAAAACTAGTCGAAAGGACAGTTTACAATCAATCCCATAATCATCTATCAGTTCATCATTTGTACCCTGGTAATCAATCGGCATATCGAGAATTTCATAGCACCGAGACAGCACTACTGCGTGTTAAGAACGATATACTTATGAACATGAATAGGCAACACGTCACTTTACTTGTACTGCTCGACCTCAGTGCTGCGTTTGATACCGTCGATCATGTTCTCCTACTTCAGCGCCTGCAATTGAAATTCGGTCTATCTGGAACTGTTCTTAAATGGTTTACATCTTACCTTTCTCAGCGAACACAAAGAGTTACAGTTGGCGGTGTGTCTTCCGAGAAATTCAAAGTTGATTGTGGTGTTCCTCAGGGATCGTGTCTAGGTCCGCTTCTGTTCGTTCTTTATGTAAGCGAACTACTTGAGTTAATAGAGCGTCACCTACCAGATGCACATGCTTATGCCGACGACACCCAGCTTTATATCTCGTTTCGCGCAGATTCTCGTATCGACCAAGAAACTGCAGTCCGAACTGTTGATATGTGCATTGATGACATCAAACGATGGATGCTTGCTAATAGACTGAAACTCAACGAGGGAAAAACTGAAGTAATTCTAATCGGGACGTGGCAACAACTCGAAAAAATCGACTTCAATAATATTCGTGTTGGCAGCAATGTTGTTACTTGTGTTGAGAACGCCAAGAACCTCGGCTGCTGGTTTGACTCGCACATGAAAATGGACACCCATGTTACTAAATGCTGCAAAGCTGCCTTCTTTCACATTTATAACATTAGACGTATTAGGAAGTTCCTCGATCAACATACAACTCAGATTCTTGTGCAGGCTTTCGTTATAAGCCGCCTGGACTACTGTAACAGTCTTTTTTATGGCCTTCCTTCAACCCAATTGAGGAAATTACAAGCTGTTCAAAACGCGGCAGCCCGGCTTATCTGCAATACTCCTCGATTCGATCATATCACTCCTGTCTTATATGATCTTCATTGGCTCCCGATTAAGTCCCGCATCGACTTTAAAATCCTCCTTATTACATACAAGGCCCTAAACAATCAAGCTCCAACGTACATTAAAGAGCTCCTCTCAATTAAAAAACCCACCAGTTACAACCTTAGATCCCACTCTGATCCGTGTCTACTAGAACGCCCCAGACTTAAAACTCTTAAGACCTTCGGTGATCGATCATTTTCTCTCGCTGCCCCAACTTTATGGAACGCTCTTCCCAAAGCTATCAGGATTGCATCCTCAACAGCTACATTTAAAAAGTTACTAAAGACATTTCTATTCTTAGAAGCTTTTAATTAATGCTTGTGCATGTTCCATTTTTACTTCTAGTTATCACTGTGATACTTTTATAAATTCTTAACATTATTGTAATATATTTTTATCTAATATTTATAATTTGTATATTATTTATTACTGTAAGAAGCGCACTTGAACATATCCACATGAAAAATGCGCTATACAAATGTAATTTCATTATCATTATCACCAAATTTACATTGCTTCCTGTGTCCCTTGCAGTCGCAGCAGTGGTCGCAGCTTGGCAGTTTGCATATCAATTTTGTTACGCTAGTACAGACCGTGTTGTAGTCCATGCATGAATTTATTTCTGCCTTAATCAGTCAGAGCATTACAGTAGGTTGCTCGTTTTCATGAGTTCCTCGTATGGGATCGTGTGTTTTAAAGAGATAATAGTAAAATAGGAATCCGTAATTATTTTAATTTGTTATACTTGCAGAGACTTTAGATGTTTTAGAGGAATGGATAACTGATATTTTTACCTTAATTCCAAGGCGGTAAGGGTGCCTCCCTTTTTTATTATAATTATGTTTTACTTTACAATTACATGCCGTATACTTTCGTGAGTCTATATATTATAGTGAGGTTTATAGAATTGACTTCTTTCTTTTTTTTCACTGACTTAGCACCTATATCTGATTGATTTTTTTTCTGTGTTGGTGTAATGTACTCAGGTGAATATGATGCTTGTGATGTTACTCTGAGTGTATATCCACACCGGGCAAGCTTGAAAAATATGCCTGGCCACGGTGGGAATCGAACCTACGACCTTTGGAATGCTAGCCCAATGCTCTGCCAACTGAGCTACGCGGTCTGGTCTGGATCGCTAGCAGCTTGCCCGGTGTGGATATACACTCAGAGTAACATCACAAGCATTATATCTGATTGGTTAATCGGGAAGATAAAACGCATCTGATTGGTTAATCGGTAAGATTAACGCATCTTGTTGGTTAATCGGAAAGGTTAAACTCATCTGAGTGGTAGTGGAAGTCAAATCAGTAAACCTCACTATTATTTGATACATACGTTTTAATCTAAAATAGTGTATGCTATTATTTTTGTTTATTCATTTATTCCTATTTCGATTTTATGCATGGCTGATAATTTTTAGTCAGCCTGAATCTTTATGAAATCAAGGCATTGAGCAGCAATGCATTATCATAATGTCATTTTGTTTTCTTGTGCGTGAAATATTTCACGCTGTTATTTCTTTTTCATTTTTAAGAAATTCACAAGATTCAGCTTTCTACGATATAAATGTGAGCTAATTTAATAAAAACTAGTCTCTAAAGAATTTAGAAGATCTGCAGAGTGTATTATTAACATGCATGCAGAACATGTATAATTATACTGAATGAAATAATTCTAAGAGAACGTCAATTACATGCTTTCTTTAGAGTGTACGTGGTTTCACACCTGACAAGTTTCATAAATTATATAAAGGTTTGTAGATTTACATTGCCAGGAAGATTTCTTTTTCTAAATTTCTGTAATAAAATGGATTTCTATCTCTAAATTTATATTTAGATGAGTTTTCTTCGGCAAGTTTCTTATCTGAGATGGAAATCTGTCTCTTTAACCTTTATTCAAATTCGACCAATATCTCTTATTCCGCAGTTGTACCAGTAAACGATATTCATGAAGTCGAAATTACATGGGTACTTCCTCCTTTGCAAAAATATTACAGGTAAAGTAATTAGGTAAATAAATCGTTTCTAATATTAAAAATCAATCTTTGAAAGTCATAATTAAATGCGTGTATTTTTAGGACAAAACCTTTGAATTATATATCTTGGCTTCTTGGACATGAGAGTCGTGGCAGCGTCCTTGCGTGGTTAAAGGAAAAGTAAGAAATTGTTGAATTAGAGAATACAAAAGAAAACCATAAATATGTATACGAAGATATACAGAACAGTTTCTTTAGTAATTAACACGCCCCATGCAGACGTTCATAAAATAGGGTTGGCTCATTATTACATTTTATGACTGAAGACTCTCATCACCATTTTTCAATTGACTATTCCAAAAAATGGCAGCTGTATACAGCTTTACTTTTTATACCGTCGGATTTACTCCACTTCATAAGCAAATCATATATTAGGAAATAGATGTTTTCTCGAGATAAATGTGAATATCGCCATCTTTTTTGGTACACTGGGTACTCTCAGTGGTAGCTCTACAATGTTAAAGTACCATTGTCCAGTCCTTGAAACTCCCGAAATTTCAGGTCGGCAAGAAATTGCCGACCTAAAATCGATAATTCTCAATCTAGGTCGGCAAATACTTTCAAAATAACAAATAGACAGTATCCAAATGAAAATTTGCTTGCTGCAAATATGCGTATTTATAAACAGCAATTAATTGCAATCAATGCCAATAGCAAACAAAGCAACTAACAAAATGTATGAACTCCAATCGAACAGTACATGTTGTGACCAAATGTTGTGACAGACCGTACACTACTTTATTAGGCTACCATATACTTACGCTTAAATCTTGAAGCTCGATGATTTTAACACGATGTTTACTTTTCGAAGTTTCAAATATCACCTTTCAACAATGAAACTGCAATGTTTGTAAATTTGGTACTCGCAAAGCATATTTGACTACGCAAGCTAATGATCAAAACCTGATAATTAAAACATCATCGTTGAAAATGCGTACGTGAAAGATGCGTTCGCGGAAAAAATGCCGAGACGTATTTGAAAGTAGGTCGGCAAAATTTTGCCGACCTAAATCTACACATATCGCTTTGCAGGTCGGCATTTAGGTCGGCATTGCCGAATGCCGACCTGAGTTTCAAGGACTGATTTGAAATAAGATTTGAATTATGTTACCCCTTTCCACAGTCAGGGTATTAACATACCCAGTGCCGCGAAGGGGTATGTGGGACATTTTGCCACAGGTTCCCAGCTCAAACGGGACCCCAAAGCGACGAAGTACCTTACATTTTCTTGGTACAACACCGCTTCTCCTGTTTTACAATCACGACGTCACAGCGCTCCTGGGGATGCTTTTTCCCCGGGCCCCGCGCAATTTGTTGGCGACCCTGACAATGCAAAATATATATGCGCCATTAGCATCGTCTAAGTTCATTGAAATATACATCTACATGTACCATTACAGACCAAGAATGTGAACATTATCCTGTTTTCGTTTTCATCCTCCAAACTAATGCTTCCTCAAACAACCAGTTACGACCAAATTGAAACCGTTTATTGTACTACCTACACTGTACCCCACGTCTGAGCGCATTATAATTATTAATAACGGTGATTATGATGATAATAATAATTATTATTATTATTTAAAAATATTTAAAAACGGTAGTCCTTCAGGTATAGACATGACCTGCTTTTCAAGGAGTCGTTTGCAAACTGCTTAAATTAACAATACTATATATATAATTATCTATAGAGGATGGGCTACTGCTCTGTGTGCTGGTAACTCTGGATCTGGTCAAGAATTTAACACAATTTATTCATTTTTTACATGTGAAGTTTATCTAACAGTAAGTATACTAAAGTATTTCCTGTACTATTTAAATAGTGAAAAATAAATTCAGAGTAACACCGGAGAAAAGCTGAAAAGTTGCTTAACCGCGGTGGGAATAGAACCCGTGACTTTATTGGCTTGCTAGTTCAACGCTCTACCCCGAAAGTCTCGGGTTCGATTTCCATAGCGGCCAAACAATTTTTAGCTTTTTTTTAGCCTGGTCTGTGCGGAGACACTATAAGAGTAGCATCAACCAAAGAAATAAACACCTGCACATGAGTTAAACACTACAACTACTAGACGTTAAATGTAGAGTAGCGCAAGCGAAAATAGCAAAGCATTCATAACTGCCCTTGACGAAATAGACAATCCACACCTATAACATGATTGTACTGAAAATCATTCTGATAGCTGTGTCTTTCTTCTTTAAGGTCAGTGGATTGGAACATTATATTGAGGTAAAGGATTAATATATAATGGGTTTTTTTATATTTATCACAATCTTGTAACTTTGTAATTATTCATCCAATTTTCATCCAAACTGAACGAAAATTTAATTGACTTATCCTCATGGTCTATGGCCATTAGCTCCACAAGTTTTCTTAGAGAGTTATCATGCTGACAGACAAACACACGCAAACACACAAATTACAAACCCAGGTGAAAAGTTTTCACCTCATGGTGGAGGTGGTCATTAATAAATTTTGTATTGAATTTATTCTATGTAGATAATACTATAGATGTGTATTGTGTTTAGGTCATTGCAGTCATATTTCAATACTTAGAAATGCTACGGCGTATCGGGCCTAATTCCAGGTATGTTTCAGCAAACGTTAATGTAAAAGCTGCAGTTAAACATTGCTGCAAGAATAGCAACAGACAATGAAATTGTGAAGCTACTGTTATAGAATTTGTTTGGATTTTTGATTTGTGATATTTTAGGGTATTCAACGAAATAAAGAGTATTGGAGATAACAATTTTAGATTTAAGGAAGAGGTTTGTTCAACAGTTCAATGTTACCATTTTACAGTCATATTGTCGACCTTTAACCTGTTTAAGTTTATTCAGTTTCTCATTCATTGCTGAGCGGATTTCTCAACAGCCTATTGCTATACGATTTTAACGTCCTTATAGTAACACGATGTATTGTTTTCTTAGGTAGATCCATCAGACTATGTTGAAGAAATTGCTGAATGTATGCAGGTTGGTAATTTACCATACTTGCATATTTACGTCTTTGGCAGGTGGCCAAAAGTATTTTATTTCGCAGTTAACCCCGTGTGCATTGCGAACGAGGCGAATGAACTAGGGTGGGGTCCATGGGAGTTTTTCAGAAATTAAGCCCAAGAAGGTCCATTTTAGTCTTGCGTTTTTATTGAAAAGACACCTATTAACTACGATCTGGGAGAAAATCACGCGAATTCAACTTACGGCGAGTATAAAAGTTGCGAAAAGATACTGGGAAATTGCTAATATGCTGGTCATATATATATATATAGCAGGAAATAATGGTGGATATAGGTGATCTAAATTCTAGCAAGGGCCTGCAAGGCTTTCAGAACTATTCTGAGTAGGTGTCTATTTTGATAATGTATAGGCGGCTGTTGGGAGGGGGCGGTCTAGGGAGTCTTAAAGTCATCCAAATTAACTAGTGTATATTGATTAGATAGCAACACAACTGAGTTCTGTAACCAAATTATAATGTTTCATTACTTTCATTCTCCACCAGGATAACTTCAAGATTTAAGATGGCAAATAACTAAGTCGGTTTTACGAAAGAGTACTTCGTTTTCGAAAATAACCAGGCTATAAAGTAGACCAGGTTGATGAAAAATAACTTGAAAGCTTAGAGTGGAGGAAGGAGAGCAGAATTGATATTTCAAGTACTAAACAAAAAAAAACGGCAGTAAACCTCATGGCACCCGCCGGAGCTCCGGCGGCCGCCGGCTTATTTTGAAAGCCCTGTTCTAGGAGACCGCAAACATTTTAGGACATTGCACAATGCTATAACAGGCAGATAAAATAATTTATTGGGAAGAATATTAGTGAGCTCGGCAGCTTTGACACCTGCAAAACTTAGGATCTCAGAAACAAAAATATTATATCTTGCCATGATGCTGAATGTGCCCAGGACCTTCTGATCCAGGTTTGCAGTTATAGCTCAAGTCATTTGCAGCCGCAGATCCCAACATCTGACATCCTAAGTGATCTACTGACCAGAACTTTCATTCGGCCTGCAACTTTACCTTAAAATGTAAAGACTCTACTGTACTGGTTGGCATCATGGTGTAATATGTTAGATGTTTTATTTTGTACAAAAAAGTAAAAAGACATTGCAAGATTGTCTTTCCTCGCAGAAAACGTCAAATTATTGTAACTACAATCCCGAGATTGTCGCAGTCAGCATTATCGTCTCAAGGCGCATTTGAAAGTTCAAACTCGATTGGCTGATCATATTGAAACCTGAAAAATGCTCGTTACAAAAGTTTTACCCGAGTAGACAATGTTTATAAATCTTCTACTATTCATCCTTAGATGCAAACGTCAGTATTATTAACCTCTTCCCAAGTTTTATGTGTTTTTTATAGCTTTATCCTGAAAAAGATTATCTAACAGGCAGTGATTTAATATGGGACTTTGATGAAAAGGTATGCTACACCTTGCATGCATTACACTGTAATTTACATAAAAAATATGCAAGGTATTGAACTTTCATGCATGACAGTTTTTGGTACCGAGTAACTGGACTCCTTCAACTCTAGATTATCATTCAACTGAATATAATTCAACTCTTAGTTCATCTCAATCTCGTTCCAAGAGCATGCCCATTCGCAGCTAACACCCTAACCTGCCCAGCTCACCCCTAACCTGCGAACGGGCATGCTCTGGGTACTAGATTGATATCATCTGTACATGAACTTTTAACCATCCTCATCCCCAGGGTCTTTTGGATCGCGCGACCTTATTTTCAACGTGTGGCTGAGTGAAAGTGGCTCTGAGTGCGAGAATGCACTTTTGGTATGAATTGGGCACATAAATGAGCCAATTGGAGAAGCCAACGCCACACACTCCATGAGCTAAAGAAAGTAGGTTACGATAGGAACACGCGAGCAAGTGAGCGGGACGCGAGTTTTGTGGCGTTTACAGCGATTAAATTATATTGGGTTTAAATGTGTGTACTGTATTAACTTCTCCAGCACATAAAATTGTTTTTTCATTTCAAAAATTTAAAACAGGAAGACTTGATTGAAATTCAACAAATAGAGAAAACATTAACCTGATACTCAGGGTTTTCACTTCTGCTAGCGGGTTTCGGAGGGTAGCGGAAGTGAAAGGCCTGAGCATCAAGTTGTAGTTTTCTCCAAGCGAAGAGAGCATGCCTTCCTGCCCTTCAGTGGAGTAAAAGGTGGGAGGCTGGTGTGGGTGCACAAGTATCCCAATAACAGAAGTGTGTGGTAGTGTCCCAAATATTACCACAAACACTTTTTTATTATGTACCTTATTATGTTGGACCAAGGCCAAGAATATTTGTAACTCTTAGGATTGGAGTACAATGAGATAAAATTATAATCATTGTGCATGGCACTGTTTATGAGATTGATATTTGTTAAAACTCCCCGCAGAATAATAAATTATAATGTTCGTATAAGGATAAGAAAATCAAACATTTTCTGGGGGAGCTCGCCCCCAGACCCTGCTAAACGTTTCTCGCGCCTTTGGCGCTCTACTCGGTAAATCTAAATTCCTACTTATACATATTTTATAGTATAGTGATATTTCATACGTTTCAGATAATTACAGATGTACAAAACAATTTAACTCCAGACAAAGCAAATATAATGTTGATATCAAAGACGCTAAGTAGTGAATGTACAGAGAAAGAAAAATGGTTTGATACACAATACTGTGTTCAAGGTTTGTCCTTCCTTAATTATATAGTTTACTTTAAGTTAATTTGTTTCCAAACGTAATACTTGTAACGTCTACACTTTCTCAGTTTAAGAACGCCTAATATTTAAATATGCCATTTTCTAAACTGCATGGCAATTACATAACCTACGAAAATATACTACTAACGCAAATATTATAATAACATATATATTATAATGTGTAATAACTTTTTAGAGTTAGTTCTTTAGATTATAGTGTATATATGCTGTATAGTGATTTTTTGAAAATATCGTGTAATTTATATTTAGTATTGTTTTTCTGTATATACAGGGTATATCAAAAAAAGCGCAATCCTCGACTGAAATGTAAATTGCTAAACAAATAATAGACGAAAACGTTAAAGTTTACATTCATTTTAAAGCGTAGCCATTCAGCTTTCTAACAGTGGGTTGTTTCTTAAATTTGACTCATTGGTTCGCGGGTAATAATACTTTACGTTATTGCGATTGGAGATTAAAAAAATGGAGATGGAATAACAAATCGTTCTCATGAAAATAACTGATTTTTTCATTAAAACAAAAAAATGTTGTATTTTATTAAAGGGATTGTAACAATAAGTATAATTACGGCTTTTCTTCCACTATTTTTAACTCAGTTTGAAATTAACTTCAAATGCGATATAATTTTTTCCTATATTGAATCATAACAAATAGCGCATAATCAAACGAAAAGTGCCCTTCGAATTAAGTATTATTTTCCCATAAAAGTACATTCAAAAGACGTCTAAAGGCTTATTCTTTCCTATACCGTAGGTAACTGAACACAGATATAATCGTAGAGCAAACGTAAGCGAAAAAACATCAAATTTTGGGGTGATTTGTATAGGCAAAAGTTGGAAATATGATACGCGCAATACGACACGACTTTTTGTTAACGCAAAGTTTGATATGGTGGGATTTGTTTAAATACCTCTATTGCTCTAATTATCTATTATAGATATTGATATAAAGTTGAAAGACTGTTTGAAAGGTGCAGCAAAATTTATTCACATTTTACTTATTAACCATATTGAACAGCTTATATTTAACAATTAGTCGCCGAAGGCGAGGTGATTACAAGCCTATATTCACTGAGCCGAAGGCGAAGTGAATATAGGCTTGTAATCACCGAGGCTGAGGCGACTAATTGTTTTAGTATAAATTTCCAGGTGTTTACAAACAATAATCCACACAACTTTATAAAAATTCACTTCAAATAAATTTATTTTCGCTATAAATAGTTTGTTTACAAAATTTAAATCTCAGACACGGCTTTGTGTCGCGTTGCGACTAAGCCAGTTTTTGTCCAAATAAAAGCACGTAAAGTTTAATATTTTACCTTGAAATATTTTTAAACCATATTTTGTAGCTTTTTTTTTTCGGAATGCTATCTTCTTTAATTTTGGCAATTTCCTCCTCTGTTACTACGGCAAAACGAGCAGCCATTTTGAAAAAAAGCTATAGTCACTGACCAGTGACTATCACTTCAGAGACAGTGAATCTTGACCAATCAGAATGCAGAAAAATCAATAGTCACCTGGAAATTTATACTAATAACAATTATTGGATGAAGTTTTTGTGATATGCGGAATTATCAAAGTCGAGGTAAGCGTTATCGGCGAGGCTGATAACGATTACAGAGACCTTGATAATTTTGCATATCGCAAAAACCAAATTCAATAATTGTTTTATTATACGTTTGTTTGTGTTAAATAGATACCGCTTGCTAATCATCGCAGGCTCATTTGGATATAACTCAGTTTAATATCTGCTGGCAGATAACTGAATTATCTGTAGGTTGCGTGATTGCGCGATTTAACTGTAAGCTCTTAGCCAATCAAATTGCTTTTACCAACTACAATGTATAATAATAACGTTTATGTGCAGGTGTCGAAAGGAAACAAGGACTGATTAAAAAGTTGATGAGAGTTCAAAGCAGCAAGAGTTTGCACTAGAGTTTTCTCAAGTCTTATTAAAATTTTAATCAGCTCAATGTAAATGAGAGTTGACGAGAGTCGATATGAGTCGCAGGGAGCCCACCCCAGAGTCTTACTGGAGAGCAAGAGAGATATAGCTCAGTGTTGAAGAAGAAGCAAAGGGCCTGTAATTTGCGTGCTGGGTGCGCGGGTTCCCACAACCAGCCCGCAAATTGCATAGAAAAATGGTCATGTTCCTGAGTGTTTATAGTGTATAGGTTATTTCGAGGCAACGAGGGGATATGTGATTTATTCACCGAGGCGCGCAACTTATTTTTCACATTGCGAGGTCGCGTTAAATTAATAAGTCAGAATAGAAATAAATCTTAATGTCATATTGCCTTCGTTATGTTTTTTTTCTCATTTTTTGTGCTGCAAAGACATTACAGGTGAATATTAGAGGAGATTATTAAACGGAAATTGATTAGAGGGGAATTATTGAACAAAGATAAGATACCCGATAAGAACAAAGCAAACCGAGCAGGGTGAAAAATAATGCATGATATTGTAGGCTCCGTCAAATATTTTCCCGCGCTTTTGGCGAAATAAGGTGAAATTGTACGTTTAAATATAGTTCTTAAAGGGATATGGGGATATAAATTAAGTTTGTCTTATTTGAAAGGACATTTGAAATGATATATAAACTTCTTTTACAATTATTCCGTATGTTGCTTGGTTTTCGAAATAAATCGACTTATTTTGATCAAAAGCAGCGTGCATTCCGCCATCTTGGATATGCATTCGATATGCATACGTCACAAGTACTGTCAAGTAGGGTGAAAAGCGAAATTTTTATCTTGCAAACCACACGTCATTATCAATATGAAACTCGATTTTCATTTTAAGAAACTTTTTGAAGAAATTTAGCCCTACATAAAGAAGTTTTAACAAGTTTACCCTGCTTTTGACGTCATTAAAAACTCAGTTAATTAGGTCAATTATAATGCCAAGATGGCGGACTGCACACTGTTTTTGGTCAAAATATTTCGAAAACCAAGCAAGGTACGAAAATTTGTAAAGGCTCTTCATATATAACTTTAAAAGTTCTTTCAAATAAGACAACGTTAATTTTTATTGCCGTATCCCTTTAACTTTGCCGACTATATATCTCGAAATAATTTAGTAGTTTTCCTAATTAATATTCCGTAACGTCAGCATATACCAATGTCACAGATTAAGAGGATCTCTTAATCTGTGCCAATGTACATTCTACGCATGTTCAGTTGCTCCCAATTTGTGGCGCAATTTCTGATCATAGCCCTGTCTTCAACACTGGGCTGTTTATTTACATATGTATGTATATGCTATAATATACATCGCTCTCCAATAACACCTGGGATGTGCTCCGTGTAGATGAGTTGCTGCAACTCATCAACTCTCATCCTCTTGACGGGTTTTTACTTTTGTACATTTTAGATCTCAATCGTGATTTGTATTTGCCGGAAAAGAATATATTTATTGGTAAGCTAATCTGTAAAGTCATCCACATGGAAGGCTCTCTCTCCTCCGCAGAGACTTCATTATAGAAGTGCTTAGAAATGCGAAGGTATAATTATAAAATAGGAATGCGCTATCAAAAAATGAATGCGCTAGACTGTAATGCCGTAGACTCTGTTGCTCATATTTTACCTTTCTGCAGGCCTGCAAATAATTATTTTGCTTGGAAGGACAGATGTCCGATAAACACAAAAGTCGGACATTTCAGTTTTTCTCGGACAATAGACGAAGGAAAATTTTTCATGGTCTTCACTCGTTATCGAGTCAACAGGGATTGGTAGCGAGTCTTATCCAATTTAAGTGCACGAAATATTTTCGTGACGACTTAACGCTTGTCTTTGAGGACGCGCAGTGTTTCAATTCTATTTCAGAACCATCCTCAGAGATAGGAAAACTAGTTTCATATTAATCTCGTGCACTTAAATTGGATAAGACTCGCTACCAATCCCTGTTGACTCGATAGCTCAATAGGTAGAGCGGCGGTCTAGATACCCGAAGATGCGAGTTCAAATCCCGCTCGAGCCAACGAATTTTTCGTTGCTCGATTGCAGTGTCAGATTAATATGAAACTAGTTTTCCAATCTTTGAGGATGGTTCTGAAATAGAATTGAAACACTGCGCGTCCTCAAAGACAAGCGTTAAGTCGTCACGAAAATATTTCGTGCACTTAAATTGGATAAGACTCGCTACCAATCCCTGTTGACTCGATAGCTCAATAGGTAGAGCGGCGGTCTAGATACCCGAAGTTGCGAGTTCAAATCCCGCTCGAGCCAACGAATTTTTCGTTGGTCAATTGCAGTGTCACATTAATGTGAAACTAGTTTTTCGTATCTCTGAGGATGGTTCTGAAATAGAATTGAAACACTGCGTAACCTCTAAGACAAGCGTTAAATCGTCACGAAAATATTTCGTGCACTTAAATTGGATAAGACTCGCTACCAATCCCTGTTGACTCGATAGCTCAATAGGTAGAGCGGCGGTCTAGATACCCGAAGATGCGAGTTCAAATCCCGCTCGAGCCAACGAATTTTTCGTTGCTCGATTGCAGTGTCAGATTAATATGAAACTAGTTTTCACTCGTTAGCACGATGTATTTCGGCTGGTCAACGATGATCTGCACTGCGGTGCATCTAAAACAGAGTATAAAACTAGTAATCTACCAGAGCAAGCTTATATTCGGAGGTTTACGGTTCTATATAGTTTACCGACTGCGATTAGTTAATTAAAGATGATTAGTCAAAACCCTAAAAATCTACTCAGAAACCTCTGTCTACGTTTTGCAAAGAGAGGTGAAAGCAATAAGGCCGTGCCTGTGCATGCAATTCCATTGGCATTGGTCGGAGAATTCATGCGAGTACTTTTCTGTTGACAGCTAAAGATTTTGATGTATATTCATGCGAGAAGCCTCAATCGAAGGTAAGAGTAATGACTAATGTGGCTTATGAGAAGATGGTTCCCGTTGTGGCTCAACTATTCCAAGTTTATATGGCTTTATAGGCCTGGTTTCCATATGATATGGTCGTAAGGATCGAGTCACGGATCCTTCTCAGGCGAAATACAACGTTCTAGAACCGATAAATACGCGGAATGATCATTGGTTTGTTTAGATACAAACTATTCATAAACTGGCCGTTGTCGTCGAGAAAGATCGCGACTCTATTTTTACGAATCACGACCGTATCATATGGAAACCAGACTTCGCGAGCACAATAGTATAGCACTGAATCTGGTCGAATAATGAAACCAGAGGAGGTTGGACAGCTAATTAGCGAGTTGTCACGTGAGCTCTCGACCAATGAGATCGCTCTATTTTCCATCGTGTTGGCGAATAATTTTGGCCTTCTAATTTGCATTGGACACAGAAGAACTCAAAAAATATATATAAATATTCATATTTTTCTATCAAAATGCAACCATGGCCTTAGTATTATAAAAGGACTGGCGATATGTGCAAGAATTTCTGAGGTAAACGTTATTTTTTAACCTGTTTTCGATGATTAAAGTTGGTCATACCTTGGCAACGTGATGACTCAAGTCCGAGTCTGTTTACAATTTTCAAACTAAAAAATCTGGAATTCCCATGGTTCGATTTTCGTAATTTTTGCAAAAAAATCAAGACAAATGTCTAAACTAAAAATCTGCTGGAGGGATCCCCGGGATCCCCCGGCAGTTTTCGAGATATTTGGCATTGAAGTGACCATACTCAATTCAACCTTTGCCAAAATGGCGTCTAATATCTGGGGAAGATATTGCGCCACCAAAGCTTGATTTTCACAATGAATTTTGAAAGTCCCCCAATGTTAGGATCATTTTTCTTTACAGTAAGTGTTAAATTACTTTTGAAAGACTATTTAGAAGACTTAGAAGTTATTTGCCTGTTTTTACAGATTTTATATCTGGGCTGGTATTACTAGCCTGCATGCCCATCTCCTTGACATGCATGCCTATCTCCTTGGCAAGTGAAATTGTCTGGTGATAGAGACGATTTTAAAAGAACAGCACATTATAAAGTGATCAGATTTTCGCTCAGTGAAAAATTCTATGTTCCTTTTTAATTACAGCAGTTCAGATGTCGATATAGAATTGAAAAAGGGCTTCTTCCTGAACATCCAAGGGCAGGGCCAACTGACGATGTTGAAGAATGAAGACATTTTAGCATGGATTACTAGTATAGATTATAGTATCTCTTGTCCTTTATGATGTCTTTCTGAAAGTTATTGGTGAATACAAATTGAGCTGTGATCCCTCAACGTGGCCAACAACATGCTCCACCAAATACCTGAGCACAATATAGAAAGTGCACATACATGCAGGGATGGATTTACTGGGAGGGTGTGGGGTGTGTACCCC